TTTTGTAACAATTAAATAATTAAATTGATATTATCTACTAATGTATAAATATTTCCATGCAAAACTTTTATTCCATATGTGTATAATACTAAACAAATACACAACTAGTGTGTATGGCATTGTGCCTTAAGGCAAATTGCTGGAAATTCCCGTACCGTAACAAAATATGGTCGAAAAATATTAAATGTTTTCATATAGATTATTATAAATACTGTAACATTGTCTAATATTTATAAGAGTTATATAAACTGAGAGAGCGATTTTGCCGCATAACAGAAAAATGTTATGGCAAGGCCATGTTATGAAGAAATTTTCATACTAAATATTGACCAAAACCATGTGGTTGGTGTGCAGTCAGGCACATTTCTTAAATTTTCAGATGGAAAACCTAGCCTAGAAACCGCACAAATATAAAAAAACGATCTCTTTCTTAACGAAAAAAACGAAAGTAGCATAATGTATGGAAGTTGAGAGTAACATGGCCTTAATATTGGAGAATAACATAGGCCTGTTATGCGGCAGAATAGGTCCCTGAAATACAAAGTTAAAATTATTTATTCAAAGTATATAAGTGAGCCTTAGAACTTTAACCAAAATCATAATTAAAATCTGAATTATTTTCGATATTCAAAAAGAAATTTTTTGAGAAAAAAAAATTGGAAAAAAAAATTGAAATATTTTTTTTCCAAAAACAATTATTTTGTCAAAACCAGCAGAATTTTTTTTAAATCATTAAATCAGATACTTAGTTTTCTCAAAAACTGCTATTTTATGCACATTTAGCTCAGTATCTCCGAAACCGCTGAACCTGCCTTTGTTAAAACCTAATCACCACTTTTCCTCCTTATTACGATTTGAATGGTTTTTAGATCATTTAAATCGGATGCTAAGTTTTCTCAAAAATTACATTTCTGTTTTCTGCACTCTTTGCTTCGTATCTTCGAAACGCCTGGACCTGCCTTTGCCAACAACTAATCAGCACACTTCCCTATCAATAGGAATCGAATGTTTTTAAACCATTCAAATCGGTTGATCCGTGCGCCTGAAAGGCAAATGCAATGAAAGTATATCAAAGTTCTAAAATTTGAAATACGACTTACCGACTTACATTTGAAAAAATAGTAACTTTAAAAAATGTAAGATTGTACATACTGGTACCAAAAAACAATAAGAAGTTAATTTATGAGTTATGAACTATTTTAAATCTTATAGCAATTTGCAGAATATTATTTGCTGAAAAGTCCATACTGACAAACTAATTGCCATTTGTTCTTTTTTAATAAGCTAAATCTTGGACAAAAACATATATTATTGAGATGCTCGTCTATAAATATATTTATAAGTAATAAGTAATTGTAGAGTTTTTTTGTGGACACAAGAGTGTAGCACAAGCTTGTAGTTTCCTTACCTGGTGGTTTTCAACTTAATTAATTACTTCTTTAAAGAAAATCAAAATTTTCGAAAACGTAAAAAAAACTATTTTATTTAAAAAAAATATTTGATTGATATTATTGGGTCAACTTAATGTAGATGAAATATTAACAGTGAAAACTCGCGAATTGCAGGATTAATACGTATTTTGCCGCCGGAGCGGTGGTATCCGAGTGAAAAAGGTTATTAACTAATGTTTTATTTTAAATACAGTAAATATTACAAAAGTTTGAGCGGGACTGTCCCAGATTTCTACCGTATGTCCTGGATATATCTTTACGAGCTTAGATCTTTTATCCCGGATTGTCCCAAGTTTTCGAAAAGTATAGGTTTAAATTAAAACCTGGCAATTACTTTTTAATAAAATTATAACGACCCATCACACCTGGTAATATATCTATCTGGGTATATATACATATATATATATATATATATATATATATATATATCTGGAAATGATATATACAGGGAATATGGTTATATGAAAGAATACGTTGCAAATGCAAATTTCTGAGAGCGAGTTAAAATAGCCTATCATATTTTTAATTTTGAACTTTTATTCTCAATTAGTAAAAATTATAAAAACGTGTTTTTTGACTTTCTGGCACAAGTGCGGGATTATTTTAAATTTTATTTAAGTTATTTAGCCTAAAGCTCTTTCCCTCCCGGTTTTGACTCAACAAAACATGGTCACCTTTTATTATAGCATTATTTCCTTTTGGGGTACAACTTGACCTTAACAACATAACCCTAATTGAAACAATTCTTAAAAATGCTGTATTTTAATTTATATTTATCTAATTTTTACATTTCAAGATTTCAATTTCAAATTCCTGTCATATTGAATATGTAATCCCTTATACTGGTGCTTGCTATATTTGTGTAAACGCCTGGATTGTTTGATCTTCCGCAAACAAAACCCCATGACACGATTCCAACCAATTTTCTATTTTTATCAATAAGTGGTCCTCCACTATCTCCTTTGCAAGAATCTTTGCAGCCTTCATTAACACCAGCGCATATCATGCTATATAATAAAAGTATTTATATAAATTATTTACATCATGATATACTAAATGAAATAATCTTATTTGTAAGAAATGTGAAAGATCACCATTATATCCAAAACATGAATTTTAAATTGCGATATGAGAATAAATAAATTTAATAAAATAGTCTTCAAATATTTTTGAAAAAAATTACTTAAAAGTAAGCAGATTCTTTATTATATTATTCCCTAAAAATATTTTTTGCTTAAAATTATCTAAATTACTTACTTTTCAGTTATTCCACCAAACTCGGTATATATTTCATCACATGTATCGTGATCTACAATGTTTAGCTCCACCCCATGCAAATACTTTTCCATAGGTCCATTCTCCTGTAATTGTAAATAAATTTTTATTAGTAAAACTTCAAGCTTTTCTTGCAAACTTATGCACCTTTTTTAAAATTTATGTACCTATTGTTATATTGGAATCTGAGTTGACTAAAATTAATCAAAATTTGTGCTGTGCCAACTTACATTTTACTGGATTTGAATCACTTCGTATCAAGCCAAGAAATATTTACTGTGATTCAGAGCATGTACTTTTTTGGTTGTGAATGAAATAATAGCAATGTTAATGATATTGGAATGATTTTTTTTGACACGATGTTAGTATAGTATATACTATATACTGATGTTGTCTTGTAATATAAAGTGAACGACTTTACATTCAACTCTCAGGTTAGGTAAATAAAAAAAATACGCTATCAAACGACTTACTATTCTGATTTTTGTTTTATATGCTATTTGTTTATTTAGCAAAGCAGAAGTTTTTGATTATAGTTTAATGTAAATAAATTAGAAACTATATCTCAACCGTCTTCAAAATTTGTAATTTGTTGTCATTTTTGTAATATATTTTTTATAAGTAATTTATTTATAAAAACTACGAAACTTTTTGAAAGAGCAATCCAACGGTTGACTTATCTCTATTTGATGTTTTTTATTATTAGAATTTCTCTAATGCTAATGATTTTTAATAAACATGTTCTAGATCTAGATTTATATTTTCAAGTAAAAACTGATGTCAAAACTGATCTTTAAATGGGAAATCTACATCTATTTTATATAATAAATAAGCTTATATTTAGAATCTAAAATCAATCATTTAAAATTATAGTCATATGTTAATAAGATTATAGTTGTCACAGAAATAAGTCCATTGCTATGAAAGTTGCTAAATAATAAATATTAGTAATTACATATATATATATATATATATATATATATATATATGTATATATATATATATATATATTAAAAAAATTATATATTTTATAATGTAGTATTTATTTAAGAAGAACAACCAAGAACCTTTGGTTGGAGTGCGGACTATCTTAAAGTTAATATTAAGAGCTAGAACTCTCAAAGAAATCTTTTTCATTAATTTGGAAGCATTTCATCATCTGGGAGCAAGGAAATTCAAAAACAACTATATTAAGGACCATCCTAATATATATTTAATACCTAATTTTTAATATAAACTTAACTTAACTTAATTTTTAATATAAATTACCTTAGAGTGTCCCCATCCGGTGACAGTAACTGGAGCACCAGTCTCTGGCTGATCATTTTTTGTTGCTAAGGCTATTGGTCTAATGGTGCAGACAGTGAAATCAAATGGTTCCGAAACTTTTAGTAAAGCTACATCATAATTCATACTTAAACCATAACCAGGATGAATCCAAACTTCGCTGATGTCATATACAACTCCGCCTGAACCATGTTGATCGCTTCCAGCACGGAGCGACAACAGTTGTGGAGTTTGAAACAAACTAAGGAAATGAAATATTTATTCACATTTTGTAACTTATGTGAGGTAGCAAATACTTATTTATTAATATTTCAATAATAATGAATATTGTTTATTAACTTACTCTTCAACACAGTGTGCGGCTGTAATTGCCCATTCTTTGCTGATGATTGATGCACCACATTTATGTTCAGATTCATACTGCAGGGAAAGTTGCCAACCAAATTTTTTGATGTCAACTTCAACCACCACCCATTATGCGATTAGTCGCCAACGCTAATAAAAATATATTTATTTATTTATTTTATTTATTCATAAGCAAGCCGTAATCAATAATAATAGATATTATTTCAGGCTCTTGTCAAGCTTATTCATAGTTAATATTAAAAGGATAGTAATTTTATAATAATCATAGTAGCTGCACGAATTTCGCTTCTGAATAAAAAAGAGCTGAAAAAAAGCATTCGAACATTAAGCATTCGAACAACAATGTTCATCATCAAGTTCATCATATTAAAGTCTATTTGACCACCAGTCAAGCTCAAAATTCTTGCACAAGGTTGAAAGTTATACTCATTTAAAACCGTAAAAAATTTAAATTAATAAAATAGCAATAAAAAATATGAAAAAAAAAATGGTTGTACAGGCGATCAAATGGTCAGACTACATAGATACAGGATAAGGATTATGCAAGAAAATAGTTATTGAATTCAAATTGAGAAAATTCAGTAATGTCATAAAAAGCTATGTCTTTAAAAAGTTTAACTAGGGAAGCATGAAATTTTTTGCTGTCTAAGTTTCGGATATTGAGTGGAAGTTTATTCATAAGCTGAATACCTAGACCGTCGATCGTATTGAAAGAGCTGGCTAATTTATATGTACGCGCCTTAATAGGTTTGTGTCTAGTGTTGTAATTTGAGGACGAAGCCATATCAAAAAGTTTCGAATTGTTTTTGATGAAAGTTAATGTTACCAGCAGAAAAATGCATGGGACAGTTAGAATATTGTATTTTTTAAATATGGGTCTGCAGGAGGCTTTACTGGGCAAGGAAAAAATTATTCGAATAGCTCTTTTCTGAAGCTTAAATATTTTAATTAGTTCGGATGAAAAACCCCAGAATTGAATGCCGTATGAAACGTGAGAATAAAAGTTGCTATAATAAACTGAAAGTAAGCAATTTAAACCAAGTTTGGGTTTTAGGGTGCGCAACATGAAACATGTTCTAGATAAAGTTGGTGATAGAGAGATAGAGATATGATCAGACCACTTTAAATTATTATTAATATGGATACCAAGAAACTTTGATACTTGCGAAAAATTATGTGTTGAATTATTGATGGTTAAAGAAGTAATATTATTGGATAAACGATTTTTTGTACAAAAAGATATGATTTGGGTCTTATCATTATTGAGAACTAGATTATTTTCACAAAACCATTTCGTTATTTCTGACATAACCACGCTTAATTTATGTTGTAATTCATTAAGAGATTTGGCCTTGATGATAACGCTGGTATCATCCGCAAAAAGAATAAAATCACAAAGGTTTGTACAATGAGGTAAATCATTAATATATATGAGAAATAAGAGAGGCCCTAAAATTGATCCTTGGGGCACGCCCAACGTACTTGTCAATTTATCCGAAATTATTTGCTCGTGATCGTTAATTAAGTAAACGCTTTGTGTTCGATTAGACAGGTAAGATTTAAATAGTTTGAGCGAACGTCCGCGAATACCACAATTTTCTAATTTGTCAAGAAGTCTTTGATGAGAAATACTATCGAAAGCTTTGGACAGATCGCAAAATATCGCAGTACAATATGTGGCTTCTTCGAAGGAGTCAATGATGTTATGAACTAAATCATAAATTGAGTGGGAAGTAGAATGGTTCTTTCGGAAACCATGCTGATTCTTGAACAAAATATTATATTTATTGAGAAAAGACGTTAACCTAGTATGCAAGATTTTTTCAATTATTTTATCGAAAGAGTTCAAGAGGGAAATGGGACGGTAATTATTTATATCGTCTTTATTATTTTTCTTATGAAGTGGAAAAATCTTTGAATGCTTGAGGTGGGATGGAAATATTCCTTCATCGAAGCATTTATTTAAACATAACATAAATTTATCTATGAAAAAGGGATAGAATTCTTTAAGAATAAGACTAGGTATCTGATCCGGACCCGCTGAACTAGTAACTTTTATCGATAGAAAGGTTTGTTTTAGTTCTTCTAAATTTACAGGATAAAGAACGAATGTAGAATTATTTCGCGCGGATAAAGATTTAGTCGAACTAGTGGTGATCGAGTTGATTGCGCTTGTTAATTTAGACGCTTCGGTGACAAAAAAGTGATTAAATTTATTAGATATGACTACTTTATCAATAATCTTGTTGCCGTTAATTGTAAGACAATCAATCTGTGAAGATTTAGTTTTCGTGTTGATTTCCGAGTTAATTAAGGACCAAATTGTTTTCTGTTTATTTGCTGAATTAAAAATCAAGTTTTCGTTGAATTTGATCTTCGCTAAATTGATTAGATCATTTAAAGTTGCCCTATATTTCAAAAAATAAATTATAAAAGCCATGTTATTATTATGTACCGATAATCTCTCAAGAAATGCTAATCTTTTAAGTGAAATTCTCAACCCTTTAGTTAGCCAAGGAGTTGAAGTATTATTTTTCGGGCAAACGGTTTTCTTAATGAGAGGAAAAGCTTGATTGAAGTTGAATAAAAATGTGGAAATAAAGTTGTCGAACATTGAATTTGAGTCTTTATACTTGTTAAGTAAGGTCCATGATTCCTTTTCTAAAAGACATTTGAAAATCAATTTATTTGATTCATTAAAATAGCGTTTGTGTAAGATAAAGGTAGATTTAGACGTTGAAAAATTACAAAAATTTAATATTATGCCTCGATGGTCTGAAAGAGTGGTATTTATAACACGCGAATCAAAGTCTTTTAAATTGGTGAAGAAATTATCAATGCAAGAAGAAGATTGATGCGAAAAACGAGTAGGTTCGTGTATAGTACGAGTTAAACCAAAAGACTGCATATTCGAATTGAATTCAATGGATGGTTTCGATTGCTTATCAAAGTGTATATTAAAATCGCCGCACACAATGATTTTGGAATATTTATCAAAAAGGTTATGAATCAATTCGTACATCAGCGAGATGAACATATCAACATTCTGGTCAGGTGATCGATAAACGCATATAAGACACACGACGTCATTAGAGAGATTGATTTCAACAGCGCAATATTCAAAAAGTTTTTCTACTTGAAGAGTATTAGTATAAACGGGTTTAGAACGAATGAAATCACTTACAAAAATGCACACACCTCCGTGGCCATATTGAGTTCGACAGAAATGAGCAGATAAATTATAACCTTTAATTTTAATTAATTCAAGATCCGACTTTTTTAACCAGTGTTCAGCAAAACATAATATTTGGGGTTTATATTTATCTATAACTACTTCTAATTGATTGAGTTTATTGGATAGTTTTTGTATGTTTTGAAAAATAATTACAAATTTGTTATCAGCTTTAGGCACGAAAGGAATATTAACATTTATACAACTATAGTAAAAAAAATTACAAAGAATTTGACCTTTTGCATCTCCAGATTGAGACACTCTATTTATTAACTTATAACTTTTTTCCTTCTGCATTTAAAATTCAACCTTTTCATACTTACTTGATAAAATGCATTGTATAGCAATGCACACAAATACCAATTTCATTTCAAACTTTATAAAAAAATTATCACTTTGATACTAAGTTTATACTTATTATTGATCCCAAATATTTTCATGAAATAATGATATTTCAAGCAGTGATTTCACAAGTTTGTTTCAAAATTCTAACTTTGATGAAAATGCATTTGCTACCATCTTATGTATAAAGGCACCTTATCAATCAATTATAGATAAGTTGAAATTAAATTAACATTTGATTCCATAGTTCGAATATTTTGTTTGTTCATAGAACAATTATTAAATATATCATAATCACAAATTAAATTATAGTATATCACTAAATAAGAAATATAAACATGAAGTACTTGTTTTTATTTTATAGCAATCAGACAAAATTTTCATTCCGCGCAATGGAGAGAGTATTGAAAAATTTTTCGGAAAAAAAACGATTCTCTGATTTGACCGATATTTAAAAAGTACATTTAATATGACTTTAATAATTTGCCATTTAATTTTTAACTCATACGACCATAGCAATCAGACAATATCATGAATTTGCGAAACGGGGGTAGGAGAGGGTGAATAAAAAAAATCTTGAGAAAAAAACAAAGTTGCTCTGATTCGACTAATACTTAACTAAAACTTATCTTTATTATGACTTTGGTAAATAGAAACTAAATTTTTAGACTCCTCCAACTACTAGTTTTTATTTCATAGCAATGAGACAAAATCTTAAAGTCTCGCAACGGGAGGGATTTGAAAAATTTTTTGCCAAAAAAACTAAGCTGCTCTATTTAAAAAGTACATTTATTATGATTTTAATAAATCGCCACTGAATTTTTAGACCCCTCCGACTACTAGTTTTATTTTATAGCAATGAGGCAAAATCATCAATTTGCTCAACGGGGGGGGGGGGGGAGGGGTTTGATAAATAAAAAATCATGAGAATAAAACAAAGTTGCTCTGATTCGACTAATATTTAAAGAGTACATTTATTATGACTTTATTAATTTGCCATTAAATTTTTAGAAACCTCCGACTACTAGTTTTTATTTTATAATAATCAGGCAAAATCTTTAATTTTCGAAACGGGGATAGGGGATTTTGAAAAAAAAAATTGGAAAAAATAATAATCAATTCATTTAAAATTAATGTAATTTAGCTAGTTCTTTTTAGCAAAATGGAAGAATAGATTTTAGCAAAATAGTTACTCAGATATAATTGACAAGCTTGATTATCAATATTAATTTTTTAAAAGATTGCGCATACTGCCTGATCTGCTCACATAATTTTATTTATTCAAAATGAAATAGAATTTTAAATATTGTGATATTTATTATTGTACAATTTTTTAAATGTCTATTACAGTTCAATCATTGTAACCTTCACCCTGATTTTAGGATTAAATTGACAGGGCTATAAATAAAGATTTTATTATTACGAGTTGACCGATAATTTATGCCTGTATAACTTCCTTGGATTTTGTACCAGTTTTTATTGGTTATAGCAGCATTTAGCCACTTGTCATATGCCTACTAACTTTATTTGCTTAGTATTCCATTTTCATATTTCCTATTGGCATTTCTAATATTCTATTCTTCAGTATTACAACTATAATTTATATATATATATATATATATATATATATATATATATATATATATATAATATAAACATATAAACTATTCTGGTTATCACTATATATACAATATACTTTAGACATACCTTGCTCTTTTTATATAATAAATATATTTATAATTAAAGTTAAATTTCTTTTTAATAAGTTTCAAAGAAATATCTGTGAAATGAATAACATTAATTATAGATTATAAATTATTTACTACAAAATTCGATGCTATATCAAAAGTCATGTTTATTGAATTTTATTCTGAATACAAATAGTATGGGATGCATTAATAATAAATAAGGTGATTACATGATTAATTCAATATATTAGATTCCAGTATGGAATCTTATAAAATCTCTAACGTCTTTTGAGTCGACTCTCGTATATATTCCTGGAATTCCTGGACGACCACAGCCCACACCCCACGAGACGATACCGTGCAGAACTCCTGCATCATCTACTAAAGGGCCACCACTGTCCCCTTGACAGGAGTCTTTACCGCCTTCTGGTACACCAGCACAAAACATACTAAAAAAAATCCGAAACATCATTAAAATCCAAATAATATTCAATTTGTAATTATGGGAGAAAGTGGTGATTAGTTTTTGGCAATAGCAGGTTCAGCCGTTTCGGACATACCGAGCTAAATGTGCAAAAAATAGCAGTTTTTTAAAGAACTAAGCATTTGATTTGAATGATTCAAAAATCTTTCTGCTTGTGTTGGCGAAACGATTGCTTTTGGGAAAGAACTTTTTTTCATTTTATTTGTTTTTCATTTTAAAAATATTTATTTTTGAATATAAAATAATTCGGATTGTAATTCTAGTTCTAGCTAAAGTTTTAAAGCTCACTTAAATACTTCAAATAAATAATTTTAACAATGTAATTCAGTTCTTTTTATATTATTAAGTTCTTGAATAAGTTTAGTTTATTTACTTTTCATGTAACTTATATAGTCGTCCAATTCATAAGCTCTCATATTTTTTCTGTAAGCATAATGAAAGCTACCGTATTTATAATAATCTACTTAAAACTCTTAATATTCCTCGAATATTTCATTACGGTACGAGAAGTTTCAGAAATTTGCCTTAAGGCACGATGCCCCATACTCCACTAGTTTTCTTTTTGATTATGATTTTATATATAGTCAATGAGAAACTAGGAGTTGATTTTGTAAGTTCATAACGTTAGAATTAAAATTGAATTTAAAAATATTCAGTATAAGAATATTTTGTTCTCGCTTGAACGATATAAAAATAACAAAATATTATTCATAGTAAGTTACGTATTATCTGAAACATAGAAATTTGCTCATCTAGTTATTATTTTTACATGTCTTCAGACATCTTCAAATTTATTTTAAAGATTATAATGGTGTTCACAAAATTTTAAAAAAGAGTTTTTATTTTTTTTTTTGTTTTTAACAAACCCTTCAAATTCTTGGATATTAATTTTTTTTTGAAAAAAAAAATTAAAATATGTCTATATATATGTGTATACGTATATGTACTTCATTAATTTCGATATTTCGGAAGATAATTTTATAAGTGGGCCGTATAATATTAAATTAATTTAATTTTTCTAATTATATTTCTTATGGCAATGACTTTGATGATTCCAAAATAATATATAATCATACTTACTTTTCAGTTAATGTTTCATTCCATTTTTGATATTCTTGAATGCATTTTGCTTTGTCAGCTACAGGTATTTGAACGACTTGAAGAAATTGTGACTTATCTCCATTTTCCTGTAAATTTTATAAAAAATGATTTGTTTTAAAATTGATATTACGATATTGATTGTATATCGTTTAATCGAAATAAGCATTTCAATTATAAAAAATTCAATCAAGAATTCTAAAAATTATGATACTTTTGCTATATAAAACAACTGAATGTGTGAATTAAATATTATTATCTAATTCATCATTGAAATATTGCATACTATTGCTTATATTATTTATAAGTAAATTTAATGTGCCAATATTAATATATATTGGGACAATAATATTAATATATATTACATACATATCCAAAACATAAACCACGAGTACATAAACTCGTACATTAGCCATTAGTATTACCGAATAATTATTGTTATTGCAAATACTTCATGAAGGACAGAATGATAACAATATTATAGAGTGTAATGGCATTCATTTTAATCATATGAAGTTGAATTATATGCACCGAATCTGCCATAAAACAGACCAATGTTATGGCAAAGTTATGATAAGTGGCAGTTTCCGTACAATATCGTACTAATTACTGTCAACATGCAATGTGTTTGCTGCACGATCAGATCTCATAAAATGCAACTTTACTCACATGTTATTAAACCATATCACAAAGATTCAATTATCATAACATCGTTTTTTGACATTTGTGCGTTTTCCAGATTCGGTATTCTATCTAAAACGCCTGACTACACAGCAACCGTATATCTTTTGACAGTATTTAGTTCGATTTTGTATGAAAACATCTATATAACATGGTTTTGGTCAATTCATTGGTCTATTTTACGGCAGAATCGGCCCCATGATTAGTGATATGATATTTGTGGAAAACATATTCACCACAAATGTAACAAAAACTTTCTAGATGCACACAACGTCTTAGAGTCGAATCTATACCGACTCTTTTAATTTAAAACGGCAAATAAAACTCTTAATTTTTGTTAAACTGCAAAAATCATAGCCGGAATAACCTATGAGTGTTGTTCCCTAAAACTCTAAAACTGGAGTTTTTAAGGAAAACGGAATATATATTTAAAATCAGCGTGCAATTCTAAATAGATTTAAAAAAAAAGTTTCAAGAAACAATTAAAAGTTCTATTTTTGTTACACCGTGCTATCGATAAAGTACTATACTTTGTAAGAGTAATTTTTTTTGTGCAAATTTCGGCGACGCGGCGCTTACTTGCTTTGACATTTCGTCTCTATGCAGTTAAAGCAGTACGATCGCTTTTAAAAAAAAGTTCAGAATTTTCAAACTATGCCAAAATAAAGAAAACTTTTTTTTCTACAATTTTTTTTTCAAAAAAGGTAATTTTTTGTCGAATTTATCGTTTCTCAAAAATCTAATTTTTTCGAAGTAAATTTTTTTCAAAAATGTTAATCGTTTTTAAAAAAATAATAATTTTTGGTACGAGAAGTACCAGCAATTTGCTCGAAGCACAATGTCATGCAGCACTAGTTTTGAAAAAATATGAAATTCTCACCTCCAACAAACCCCATCCAGTTATTGTAGCAACTGCGCCAACAGGCATATCGTGGCCACCTTCTGTTAACCTGACTTTCCTCCTTGACCTGCCGTCAAGTCTGAATGGTTGACGCACTCTCATCACGGCTACGTCCAAGTCAAAAATTTCCGATACGTTATATTGGGGATGTTTATGTATCTCCACTACATCATGAAGATAGCCGTTGAAATCTCTCAGGGATGATCCAGAACGAATTTGGTATTGTGTGTGGCTAGATGATAAAAATGGATTCTGATAAGTGTCCATTAAGAATTTCCAAAGGCCAAATTATATTGAATTATACGTAAATACGTAAAAAAATTTGATTGGTATTCCCACAATTGAATAATAGTGATTTCTATTCAACAAATAGAATCTAAATATAGAATAGTAATATCAGCAACTCAACTCTGAAAAAATGTTTAAAATTTTTTTCTACAGATGCATACTGCCATAGTGTAACATATGAAAATACAATTTCTACTAAAACATTATAATTTTTCATTAAATGAAAATTCTAGGCATTATCTGAATATACTATATAGATATATGTGAGATTTTAGTTGCAAAATATTATCCCCGTTTCAACCAAAAATCATGTAACAATTTTAAAAATATTATATTGTGCGGCCTATTGTTGTTCCAGTAGTTCATTTTCTAATTAATAGTAATTAATTACCTTGTAAACTTTACAGATTGTTCGTTCCATTAAATGTAATTTTATATTGATACCAGATGACCCGACAGATGTTGTCCTGTACTCACATTTAAGTTTTTTAATTATCCTATACTAATATTTTCCGTTCAGTTAAAAATAATAATTATTGTTTTTCGAATTGCTATTTACACCAATGTATGCTTCAAATAAAATGATGATTCTCAATTCCCACAATTAACACTTTAATTATCCTTTAACAAATATTAAAATATGTTCAATAAAATTGTATATTAAAAGTTATACACTGCAATTTATAGAACACATTTATTTCCGATAGCTTTAATTTATTTTAATGCCAAGGGTTATACAATTTTTTAGTAATACCTGTAGATTTGGATGTATAAATGAATGTTTTTTTTTTGTTTATTTGCGACTAAAACATTGATTTTCAAATTTATCACACAAAAAATCATCGACTGCCTTTGTGATTTATGGTCATAAAAAAAAGTACACGTGTTGAAAATTGAAGTCTTTATAATATATTCAGAAAGAATTAATATATAGCATTTGCGGTAAAGGTACACCATAGATTTTTCTACCCAAAATAATTGCTTCAATAATGTTGCCTATAATTTTTATGATTTCTTACCATTTTTAACTGATTTTTAGTAATTTTAATATCTAAATTACATTTTTCTCACTAATAATTCAATATACATTATTACTTAAGTTTATATTTGAAGTGTATTAATTTTTCAAATCCTGTTCGAACAACAAAATTATTTCAGTAAATGGAGAAGAGAAAAGCGTGTGCTCTGTGAATTTTCTTCCGGTGCTTCCATTTACTTGAAATTTTGGAAATAGTCTAATCTTTATCTTGAGTTCAGAAGTGAAAACAATTTGCACTCCCTTTCCATTTTCACTTATTTGCGATTATAACTCTTTTAATTCTGATTTTATCAGAACTTGTAATACACTATTTTAAAGGTTATTAAATGAGCTATAACTTTCTCTATCATGAATTTTACCGTAACTTCTTTTAAATTTTATCATAACTCTATCAATATTTGTGTAACAGAAAAATAATAAAGAGCAATAATTAGTCAGAAAACGACCTTGAATTTTCATCCATTTACTTTTATACTTATCTTTTATTTTTTCAAAGATATAATAATGAGAAATTGTTTTTCTTTAAATAGATTTTTTTTTCATAAAAATTTTTAAAAATCGTTTGTACTAAACTAAAGTTGTGGTATTTTCTAGAATCTATCAAAATCTCTTGAACCAAGTTTATTCTAGATGGAATACGATAACTTTTAATTTTGGTGGAAATGGCACTCATAAACTATTTGATTTAAATGAAACATTGTATATTTCTTTTATTTGCACTTTAGCTCACTCATTTTACACGCAGAAGTACTGAAGTTTATTTTGACCCCATTTTTATTTTGAAAAAAGTAAAATTTCACCACTGAGAAAAATGTCATCCCCCCGGAAAGTGGCAAAAGGGTCTAAATTATTTTTTATACTTGAGAGCATGATGAACCTAATTCCAAAATTTGATGCAAATTGGAGCACAGTAATAATATTCAGATCCAAAAACGTTAATTGACTTAAGTAAATATTCCGTATCCAATGCCAAACATATGAATTTTTGACACAATGAAACTTCTAAATAATTTTTTGAATAAATAAATAATTTTTGTATTGTGATTCAGTGAATTAAGGCAAAACACGACTGCTTTAGTAAAAAATAATAATCTATCAAATTAATTATAACTTTCACTGGCAGTCTACAGCCGTCATCAGGCACATGCGGCCAAATATATAATGTATCTTACATTATTTTAATTTTTGGACATATCAGCTGCTTATCGGCAATAATGATGTAGACATTACATTTTTCTTATTCATAATCATAAATATATTAAATTTTAATATTGCGAATGGAAATGTTTGGAAAGTGACATTCTTCGTTTGTTTTTAATGTCAAACAATGCCCTAAATATTTTCAATGCCAATCAATGATAAGCGGTTTTTTGTAATTTCTTCCATTTATTTCTACCATCTAACTATATTCCTATGAATCAAAAAATCTTAAAAAAAATCCTTTAAAAACTTCAGGAAAATTCATGAAAATCCGAATAATAGTTTAGGAGGATTGACCTTTCATAACCCATTACAGAAGAATTTTATATATAAGATTTATCTTTACCTTTATTATGTTAATTTTGTTATTTTCTTGTCTTATATGTAAGTCAATTGTAGAAGAAAGCAAGTTGATTTTATTTTGCACAATCGTTTACTTCATATATCATAATATCTCGGATGCGTTGAGTAAGTGCATATATTTTAATTTATTATTAAAATATTGTTAACTAGTTAGTTAACTCTTTAGACTATTTCGAGTAGAAGTTCATAGATCTAAATGCATCAAATTACTTATCACAAGCGGATTGCGATCATTATCCGTACTACGAAAAAAAAAACAAAATTAAATTTTTTTTTTTTAATTTTTGTTTCTTGGATTTCGAAACAATTTTTAAACTTTTGAAAAAGTGACCTGTGAACATCCAAAAAAATTGGCAACCTTTCTGAAAAGTGGTGAAAAAATAAAGTTAAATATGATAAATCTTTAAAGCTTGGAACAATCGGCTGTGTCAGAATTTCTAAATTTAAACATCAAATTTTTGAATTTTGCTAAATCTTAATTTGGATTTTTTACACATATCGCGAATTTTTTGGTTTAAGGCGAAATTACGTCATAAACATCACTTTATAAGTGATGTCCTTCGAGAGCGAGTTCTAATCGCAATTTACCGATTATATTATTCATTTTTGTGATAATTGTTTATAATTATTTTAATATGTTATACTTACTCAAACAAAACGCAGTGAGCTGCTGTGAGAATCCAAAAATTATCCAAAATTGCTCCACCGCACAAATGTTCCCGTTGCACTTGAACTGATATCTGATATCCATATTTTGTTATTTGAGTTTTGTTTCCTCCTACAATGCGTCCATCTAAAAAAAAATATAAAAATAATAATAATTGTATTTATTACAATTATTTTACGTATGTTATTACCAATTACGGATGCAGCATTAATGACCATTGGCCAAAAACAAGCAAAAATAAGTAGGCACTTCATGGTTATACAAGGACTTTCAGAATGAATTGGCACGCGAATGTGCCTCTGTTTATATCGATAATCTCATAATTACAAAAAAATCTGTATCGGTAGATAATCGTTTGCTATTAAATTCGAGTGTCGGTGTACAAGATTCATGACAGATTTGTCATTTATGCCCTATTTTACTGATAAATTGATCTATTGTTTTGTGGATTTTCTCATATGGTTTGTTGAACATGAGGCAATTTTAAAAGTTGTTTTATCAATTCTTATTGATTAAGGAGATGATTTATATATATATAGACAATTATAGACAATATATTAAGACAAAATGCCATTTACATCTAGTTAAATTATGGTTTATATTATGGATTTAACATCCAAATTTTGAAATAATAATGCGACGTTTTCTTGCTCTTGGATTCGTAATTTGGATATAAGTACTGAAAATAAAACTAGTTGGTCTTGGTATTTTGCCATGAGGCAAGTTACATGCACTTCCCGATATTTGTAACTAATCGACCTAATCAATAAAAAATAAATTAAAAATATGTAAGTGATTAAAAGTATTCCGAGTGGATTTATTACACATAATAAAAACTACCGAACGCGTTAACTCGGAGTATTTTCAAAAAGCAAATTTTTAAAAATCAATCATTTTTATAATTGAACTAGTTTTCGTAGGACTTTAATGGTTTAGTATGTTCATTAAGACCAAGTTCACTATCGATGTACCAAATAAATCGTCTAATTTTAATTTTAACAAACGTCAAAAAACTACTCATTTTCTCATCCTTTGATGAATTTTAAAAATTTAACTATTTGCCGTAAGGCTGTAATATTCGTCAGTCAGTTCTATAAGACCATGATATATATCCAAAGACCAAAAAAGTTGCATAAAAATGGAATGGATCGACTTAAATTTATTTTCAACAATTAATTACAATAAAATGGTTCGGTAGATTTTCACCTAAAACTAATCAGTATCATTCCCAACTAATATCTTTCGAACAGTTATTAATTTTTTGAAATCGATTCGGTAGTATGAACTGAAATGTAGACGGAAAGTATAACACTTTTTTCTAAAATACAAAGAAACTGCTCTGCAGATCGTCGCACAAACCTGATAAACAATAGTCCTTATTGAGCTACATCAATTGGCTTTTAAATTTCTGAAATCGGTTCAGGCGTTTTAGAGAAAACGTCGATGAAAAGTCTAATTTTGACAAATGCCAAAAAACGATACTATTTTTTGCAAAATTTGACGAATTTTTTAAATTAAACGACTTGTCGTAGGGCCGTAATATTTTAGTATGATCTATATTATAGATACCATAGTCTTATAGATTCTATAAGACTATGATATCTACCGCCAAAATAAAAATTATAAAAATCGTTGAAAAAAATTTTTAACACTTTATTACAAGAAAACGGCTCGGTCAATCTTTATGAAAACTAATCAGGTTGATTTCCAACCAATATCTTTTGAACGGTTTCTCCTTCGGGAAGTTAATACAAAAATATTATATCTAATTTTAAATAATTGGCTCTCACTAGATTAAGATAAGTGAATAAATCGTTAAACTTTTCTAAGAAATGTTGAAGTACTCAATTTTTTTAAGTACTTAAGTGGCTGGTGGCACAAATATTATGAAAGTATAATTTCACAAAAAATTGCATTTTCCTTATGATAAATTTAATTTTTGAATTACACATAAAAAGTAACTTTTCCGGAACCATATTTTGAGTTGCAATAGTATTTATTTCTGAAGCGGCAAGATGCAAAAACTTTTCTTTATGTGTAAACAACCGAATTATTCAATAATAATTGCTATTTTGCAACTTTGAAAAGTGTGTAGTAATGGTTTCTAAATATTGTTACAGGCTGCTTTTGAGGCTGCTCTCAAACGATTCAGAATGGTTTGCAACTTCTAAAATAGCAAGTTGTATTTTCTAGAGAAAACATAAACTTATTCTTTGGGAAGTTAATTATAAATAAATTCTAGATGATTTTATAAAATAGTCTAATATCTACTCATAAATTTCATAATATGATATAATGTGATATAATATGATATAAAGTAAAATAATGCAATGAAATATTGACAAATTTAAAGTAATGGCTATTATGTTTGCTAGTAGGAAATAAATTAATTATATGCAAAATGGAAAATTTATATCAGTAACAATAGTGTGATTGACGTATATAAGTGTCAAGTTATCGTAATGATTGTCCAAGCTTTTTTCCCAATCTATTCGATAAACAAAAAAACACAAAAACTTATGACTAACGACAAATACCTAAGGATGATAACACCTCTAAAGTTTAAACGATAAAGTACTTCAGAAATCTAACTGGTTTTCTCCATTTGCAATATCATTACTTATTTATATTTTGAATTATATGAAATCATCGTGATTTTCACAAAAAGATAATTTTTTGAGATGATAAAATTCTTCATAGACATGATTAGAAATTTTTATCTACAATCGCTAAAAACTCATGATAACTATAAATAATTTTATGAAAAAATAAATAACTAGGTCTACGTCATGTCTACGTGGTCTTTAGGCAAGTTGCAAAATTTTCCCGACATGTGTAAATAATCGACATAATTACGAACTGAGGTTTAGCAATTTTTAACTTCCCGAAGGAAAAATTTATGTTTTCATCAAAATATCCGATTCGCTAATTTTATGTTTTCTCGGCGTTTCAAGCCATTTTGAATCGAATAAAACCAAATTTGGAAAAAGTATGTGTGTGTGTGAACAGATTTTTTGCCGAAAATCAACGTTTTCAAAAATTTAAAAGTCCTTCTATGTATCGCGATGACTAACGTTTATCAATTTTGCGCGACGATCAGCCAAGCCGTTTCTTTGTAAGTAGCAGAAAAGTGAAAACATTTTCGTCAACGTTTTAGCCCGCAGTTATGAATCGATTATGAAAATTCAAAAACCGTTCAAAAGATATTGGTTGGGAATTGTGCTGATGAGTTTTGGTAGAGATCGGCCGGGCCGTTGAAAAAATGAGTGAAAACTTTTAATCACTCATAAATTAATTAATTTTTTATTGATTAAGACACATATCGTGAAGTTTATGTAACTTGCCTCAAGGCAAAATACCAATACCAACTAGTTAAAAATTATTTAATTATTATAGAGCACTCAAAATAATAAAATTCAGAGAACTTATAAGAAACATTAAAATATTGATAATAACCTGACAACAACAAATATCTTTGATATCAAAACGCCTTTTTACGCTATTTCATTTACTTTTCAAAAAACTATACACTGAGATATTGTAAAAACGAATAGAAATATCAAATTACTCAGATAGGTCAATCGGTTCACACAGCCTCAATTCTGTACTATTTCCTAGTATGCCAAATCGATCAGGACGACTTTCAGCATAATGTCAAAATTATTATGGTTTATTTATATTTCAATTTGAATTGAGCCTACATTTTTTGTATTATTAAATTTAAAATGTTTATAAATAATATAATGTTTTCCTACTGAAAACAATCATATAAATCCAAAATAAATATCAAGTTTATATAGTCATTCTATATCGTTTGAGAAGAAAATTGGCAGGAACATACATATTTAAGATCAAATCTAATTTTCATGGTTTGAATGACCAATATTTATTCCATTATTACATGGATACCATTTATCCTAGATTAAAGAAATAATCATCCGTTTAAAGAGCTTACCTTGAAATATATTAATATATTTTACATTTAAAGTTATACGAAGCATTTTTAAAACAAATTTGTATAATCTAACCCGGCAAATGTTGTTTTGCTAAGTAAGGTATTTTTAGACAATTCCTAGAGAATAAAAAAAAGAATACTTTATTTTAGGAGTATAAGAATGTGCTGTTTGAATGACACAAACAATGAGGTATTATAAACACAATAAACCCCAAAGTCTACTTGTATAATCATTTATTATATAATTTATAATAACAATATTCGTTTGCTCATATTTTGTTAATACAATCAAACTGGAAGGTTTATACACTTTCTATAAAAATATGGTATAATTCAATCCAAGTCTTCTTTAGTCTTTAGCCATGGTCAATGTTCAGTTGGTCATTTCTGCCCTACACAAATGTGAGTTTTGAAACAATTAAATAGCGTATTGTTAAAATTTATATTAAGGTCCCGTGAAGTAAATCACAGTGCTCACAACCCAAAAAAGTAACAGCAAAAGGAAATACTTTCGTTATGGATTTTCAAAGATTACCGATTAACTCCCGATAGCAAAGCCATAAGAATCAAGATTATAGCTGGTTATACATCTTTTCCTCTCTACTTTCAAATATTGTTGTTGAATGATGCTTATCTTTACTGGTTTTTGAGATATTGGTGGTGGCCTTATTAATCCCTGATCTTTATATATTACTATTCATTCTTCAATAAATTTATAGAAAATTTTTCCAGTTTATTCTTCAAAATTAGTGGTAAATAACCATTAGTAAATTATATTTTACATTGCATTATCCAATGATTGCTAAAGTTTTTCATCTTTTTCAATTTATAGAGTGATTTAATGAAACATAAACGATACCTGACTGAACGGAAGGATCGCATTAAATTGAATGCGAGCATTATAATCAATTTTCAAAATATTTTGTTCCAAAGAACTTGTAATTTTGTGCATTGACATTTTTACACGTGTGTGATTTGATTCTTATGACTTGATTCTTATGACTTAAGTTATATTATCAACCGAATTTTCTTATTTAAGTTGTTGTCTGTTATACCTCGGAATAAGTTATTCGACAAAATGTCCCCTTTGATCAATTCCAAATTTAGGTTTTAAAATAATAATATATAATCTAGAAAATATTTTATAAATACTATTTAATATAAAATTAAGTAAATGTCAAACCATTTGGCATATGAGTAGGCGGATTCATTTGTCATATGAATAATGTTGTGCAGGAAGCCATTTCAAATCAACTTCTGTTTACCAAATATCTTCAAATTAAAAATGTAAAGTTTCTACGCGATTTTGAAATAATATCTCACCTTTTGGACAATCTCTGGATTGACACGAATTTTTCAAGACTAAGACTGGCCAAATCGGTTTAGCCGTTTTCGAGTTTTAGCGAATCATTTTATTGAGAGCTCCATTTTTATATATAAGATATATATATATATATATATATATATATACTAAAATTGTTTAAAATTTTTTTCGAAGCACTTGATACCTTGGGAGCGCAAATATAGTAGTAGGATCTATAGAACCTGCAAAAAGATAATAAAAGATGCTATTTTGCGTTGTATATTTTAAATAACTGTCAAATATTCAAAAATGTGAATAATACTATCATAAATTGATTATTAGTGATATTTATTTGAGTAGTAATATGGTTTAATTTGTTAGTTGAGTATCAAAATTTTGTAAAACATCTCGTCTTAGTATATCATTGAAATTAAGGAATATCAAAAAATATTTGTAATATTATAAGTTAAAACTCTTATATTCCAGTGTGCATTTTGATAAATTCTCTTATTGGTTTTGAAGCCACTCGGGTATATACTCCTGGGATTTCGGGTCGTGCACATCCTATTCCCCAAGACACTATTCCATGCAGAACTCCCTTAGAGTTGACGAGTGGGCCACCGCTATCTCCTTGGCAAGAGTCCTTACCGCCTTCAGGATAACCAGCACAAATCATACTGCGATATCAAATAATAATTTTGAATATACAAAAAATGTTAATTAAAAGAATATAAAAATTGAAATAAGGAGAATACAGTTAAGAAGCTACTAGGCACTAAAACACAAATTGTAAATTTTCGAAGAAGCAATTCCAAACATTTGTTAGGGTTTTATCATAGAGGACTGATAACAATTATATTTCCACGTGTACGTAAAATTAAAAAGTCATAAAAATATATCAAGAAAATAGTGTCAGAAACTGAACAATTTTATGCGAATATACTACTGTCGTTGAAAAATTTTATAACTCTTGAACAAAAGCTATAAACAAAATTAATGGCCAAAAATTAGACTCAAAACCCGTTATCAGAAAGTCAACAATTTAAACTAATAAAAGAAAAATTAAAGATAATAATAGCCGCGTTTTAAGTTAATGTTAGGGATATAAGAAACTGTTTATCTATTTCTTACTCTATATTTGTTTTAAAAAAAATCATTAATATGTTTGCATATATCATAATTTATTAGGTATTGATATAATTTGAAGATTTCTGTGCTTTACACAAACCTATTATACACAAAGTAGAGCGGGACTTAAAGGTCCGGGGGTTGGGGTAAAAAAGGTCTACTACTAATATCTAAAAAACCAAACAGTTAAGAATTTTTAAACACAACAATATTTTGAAAGTAGAGGGAAGAAAATGTGTTATTACCAGCCATCACTTTGATTTTACGACGTCGCTATCGGGTGATAAACAGCAATGCTTGAAAATCCAGAACAAAAGTATTTTATTTCATTGTCAGTTATTTTTGTTGTTAGAAGTATGATTTAATTATATGAGGTTTTAATATAATTTATAAGTATACGCTGTTTATCAATTTTGTAAGATGAGTTGTTAATTTTAAGCTATATTCAACCGATATTTTATAATTTTATAAAATCTTACACTTGGGTGGGCTAAAAAGAACCAACTGAATCTTTGTCCTAATAAGGATGTAAAAATTAAAAAAAGCATATAAGAAGTAAATTGAGTTAAATAAAG